GCGCGGGAGCCCAGGCCGCGGCGGGCGCTGCGGCTGCCGCAGCCCCCGGGCCCACCGCAGTCCCCGCACGTCACAAGCGACTGTCCAATCACAGCGGGGCCGGCGAACATCAAAGGGGCGGGCCGCCCGCTGGCCACGCCTCCCGGCTGCCCCGGAGCCTCCCGGCGCGCGAGCTCGGGTGGGATTGGGCGCCGGGGGGAAAGGTGGGGAGGGTGCAGCTGGAGCTCATCCCTTCCGAGGAGCGTGGGTGGGGGGCACCCTCATTAGGGTGGGTGTGGGTATGTACGTAAATCCTGCCCACACGCCCAAAAGTGCCAGGGCTGGGGACTTTCTCAACCGTCGCCTCCGGGGCTCTGATCCTTGAGATCTGCAGATACACACCTCCACCTCCAGCCCGTTCCGTTCTTCCTTCCTAAACCCGGTGCAAGGCACACGTTGACCAGCCGCGAAAAGCAGTTTCTCTTCACGTGTGCGTCGCTCTGTGCCCTCTGCCCTCCAGGCGGAGTCACAGCCCGGCCCCAGCTCTCAGGACTCTTTCCCCGGGTTACAGGGGATGGCCGGGGGAGAGACTCCCCTACCCTGCAAACACTGAATTAGGGGACCGAAGAGTTTGCCCCTTTGTACATTGTATTGCAAATTTTAAAAGCCCACTTTCTCCCCTGCTTCCTACCATCTCCCCTGCGCCCCGTCGTCCCCCCGCCTCACCCCGCTTTTGGCCTTCCCAGCCTGCTGGTGAGGGATAGAAGATTGTGTGTAGAGAAGAAAGATGTGAAACTTGTATTTACTGAGAACACACTATAAACCGGACACTCGGCTAGGTCGCTGCATTTATGGTTGAATGTTCACAACACTCAGGAGAAATTATTTGCCTCAGAGAGTTCAAACCCAGGCACGCCTGACTCCATTGGGTCACAAAGGGGTGTCTATGTAGGTGGGGAGGACGTAGGTGCCCCCAGGTCTGGGTCTAACTTCAGTCCTTCCTAAATCGCCCCCTGCTCCACTCCCGATCTGGAATTCGGTGGGGTTAGAAATCAGAGAGGGAAAGAGGGTCAGCAAGGAATTACCATAATCTCTGTGATGAGGCTGGGGTTCATTAATAAATAAGACAGGGCTGTCTGGTCAGCTCAGGTTGGTTAGAGTGTAGCCTTTTAACAGCAAGGTCACAGGTCCGGATGCCGTTACTGGCCAGCTGCCAAAGATAAATAAGACAGATGTGTGCCATGTTTCCACATATGCAAAGGGGCACGAACGCTTTAAAGCTGCTACCTGATCATGTCACTCCCTTCCTTAAAACACTTGACAGTGACTTGACAGTGACTCCCATGCCCCAATTCCTTAAACTTGCTGGGTGCCCTGCTTCATGTCACTCACACCGTCTTCACTCCTCACCCCTGCTTCATGTCGGTCAGCACAACCTGCTCTTTCTCTCCTCGGGACCTCCCTCCTGCGGGCACTCTTTTCTTTCCCCTGCTCCAGCACCATTTGCTGGGCATGTCCAGCCATCAGCCTCAACATCATCTCTGCCTACTACACACCCATAGCCCCTTTTATTACACTGGTCACGTGTACTACCGGAGCATTTAGTAGGTGCTGGAAATATTTTTGTGTGTGTCAACTCATGTAACCCCCACCACCCTATGAAGTGGGTGCAGTTCAGGCTCACTGTTGGGAAATCAAGGCATAAAGAGTTGAGCCTGCCCAGAGTCACCCAGCTGATGAATGGTATGGCTGGGATTCCAACTCGGTTGCCTTAACCATCACCCCCACTGTCCCTCCTCCTCCTCTCCTATAAGCAACATGAGGGCGGGGACCATGTTTGTCTATTTATTCACATACCCGTAGCCCCTAGCATGTACACCCTGCTGAACAGAGGGCCTTAGATGTTTGTTGAATGAAACAAGTCTGCTATGTTCAGGCTGCAGGTCTGCTCCATTTGTGTACCCTCATTTAATCTTCACCGTAACAGGTTGTTCCTGTTTTTACCCCATTTCACAACAATTGAGGCTCAGAGAGATCAAGTAACTTGTGCAGGGTCACACAAATGCCCCAGGGCACTTGATTCAAATCTCCACCCTTTAATGAAATTAGCAGTTTCAAGCTTGTTTCCAAATTCACTGATGGGATTAGGGGAAGAGTAGATAGATGACTTCCTGTTGCCACCGGTGTCCTCAAGTTTTTACTGCCCACTTCTGCCTTCCAGTGCAATGGTTGGAATGCTAAAGCGCTTTTGTGAAACTCCTAGTTCTCCCTACACTAAAAATTTCAGGATGCAATCCTAAATCCTATCTTTCTTTCAACTTTCTTTTACTTTCCCTCTCATGCCAGTGAGTAAATGGGTTGGATGATCAGCGGTGTGCCTAAAATGGGAACAGAAATGGAACAGGAAATCCACCCCTCAGTCGGCCGAGCCCTCTGCCCAGCACACAGGCTGCAGCTCTTCCTTTCCTCGTATGTTTCACCCTAGGACTAAGGTCAGGTGACCTGGCAGAGAGCTTGTGAGAACAGGAGTCATATGAGGTGACAGGGCTCGCTCAAGTCCCTGGTGAACCCTGACTCAGGCAGCCAGAGACGGAGCCCTCCACCTGGTCTTCACAGAGAGGGTGTGTCACTTGCCCAGAGTTTCAGCATTAGAGGCCAAGAATCCAAGAATGTGGCCTCCTGCTCTCCATTTGGCCTCTTGATCGGAGGTGTAAAGGCAAGACGGAGGGGCAGATCAGAAGGAGTTCAGTCCACACACTCCTCCTGGGGAAGGATGATCATGTTCCAGGGATTCACTGGGTGTGGAGCACATAATCCCCACATCCACCCTGGCAGATGGGTTTTCATATTCCCATGTTTACAAATGAAAAAGCAGAAGCTCAGGGACATTAAGAAAGCACCTTGCCCAAGGACGTGATGGTGTAGCAAGTGGGGTCAGGCTGGGTGGCGCAGATCTGTACTGCTCGCTCTGCCCCGAGAAGGCAAAGAAAGGGCTTTTGGTGATCTGGAGACTGATGAGGGTGGGCTTAGGTGGCAGAGGCTGGCTTAGTGGAAGAGGCCATCAAGAGTGTCCCTGTCCAGGCAGTTCTGCAAGATCTGTTGTAGGGTGCTCTGGGTCTAAGGCATGGTGCTGAAGGACCAGGGCTGAATAAATCCCTTTCCAGATCTCAGTGTCCTTTCTAGACTCAATTGCTAGTATTGATAGAGTGCTTAATCTGTGCCGAGAGTGATCTAAAAGGCTCAACTCTCTTCATTCTCACATCACCTACTAGTTCCCCCATTTTACAGATGAGAAAAATGAGGCACAGGGTGGTATATAACTTGCCCGATGTCACAGAGCTAGGAAGTGGCAAAAGCAAGCATTGAACTTAGGCAGCCAGCTGCAGAGCTGCATTCTTAACCAGAATGCACAGCCTGCCTTGAAGGAAGTGTTCCACTTCCAGTACAAAGAAAAGATGCCAAGTGATGACCTGTGTAAAAGGGAGGTAGAAGGAGGCTTATGTTCCTAAGCCAAGTATTTTCCGTATTGATTGCATTTTTTGGCCTATCAGTTGCTACCTATGAACTTGGAAGGTCAAGAGTTCCTTGCACGTTGGCTTACAGAACAGTTTGACTTGGAATCAGGACACCTGGGTATCTTGGTAACTTGTATGACTTCAGGCATGTTGCTTTCCTTTGAACTCTATCTATCTCCTTGGGCAAGAGATTGTCAAGATCTCACCAGTTTTCAGGATCCTCTGTTATTTTATTAAGAGAGGGAGTCTTGGTAGCTCCTCCCCCAACAGAACAGTGGAAGCCAAACAGTCCCTAAGAACCCTCATTTCCAAACCGGTATTAGTCCCAGCTCTTCCTCTCTCCAAAGCCCCAGGGTGGAGGTCCAAAGGACAGAGGCAGGAGCAAGGTCAGGGGCTAAAGGGCTCCCAGCTAGTACGGGAAGAGCTGGAGGAAGTAACATCTCTGTTCCCCTCTCTGCACAGGCAGCAGCCTGCCCAGTCACCTGGGTCCACAGCCCCAGAAGGGGATGGTGATAAGCACTTTTGAAATATTCTGGCCT